GTGGATGGAAATGCCCGATTTCGCCAGCGAGGAGATTCTCGGGGCCGGAACCGGCAGCTGTCTTAGGGCTGTGGAAGCAGGGAACGGGGAGGGATTTGTGTGCAGCCATTTTTAGGTTTGTTGGCCTAACTCTTGCTCTGCTGCTCACTTTGAGGCCTGACAACGCGCTGTTTGTAGAGACGCTGTCTCTGCTTGGCTTTAGGACCGTGGTCCCCAACACGGCGCCCGCGGGGGCATTTGCATGCGCCCGCCAGGTGCTCGGGGATGGCCTGGCCCCGGGCACATGGCGCGGCGCTTGCAGGGAGCGTTGGCCCCGGGCGCGCGGCGCTTGCAAGGGGGCGGGGAAAGCCCCGGCCCCGGGCGCACGGCGCTTGCGGGGTGCTTGTGGGGGGGCTCCCCGCCCCCGGGCAAGGGGCTTTGGGGGGGCCGCCCCCCGGCGCGCAAGTGTCAAGTATGTCCGTTTTTTGGCAGGGTCTACTTGGCAACCCTACCTCCCGGAAGCCCAGCCGGAGCCCTGGCCCCTGCTCCCTGCGGGGCTCGCTGTCCCCTGCACTGGCCTGCCCGGGGCACAGAGCAGGGCTAAGTGGGGAGGGGGGGCGCCAGGCAGCAGTGGGGTGCACAGGGCAATTCCGGGAAGCGCCGCTCTCCAGCTGTTCCCTAGCACACAGCCCCTGCGCAGCGTCGCTACCGAGGCTCTGTGGGAAGGACGTAGAGTATCGGGCACTCGCCAGGGCACCCCCGCCAGCGGGCAGGTTTCCCAGGGCGGAGGGGTCGCTGCAGCTGGTGGAGTTAGTGCGTCTTGCGCCCCGTGACCCCCTTGTGCTTTTCTCCCCTCTCCAGGCACACCTTCTGGCAGTTCCGCCGGGAGAACCCCGGCACCAAGGTGGGGGAGCCCCCGCCGGACGGGCTGCCCGGCTTTAACAGCGGGGTCATGCTGCTCAGCCTGGAAGCCATGCGCCAGTCCCGGCTCTACAACCAGCTGCTGGAGCCGGACAAGGTGCGGCAGCTGGCGGAGAAGTACCATTTCCAGGGCCACCTGGGGGACCAGGATTTCTTCACCATGATTGGCATGGAGCACCCGGAGCTGTTCCACGTGCTGGACTGCACCTGGAACCAGCTGCTCTGCTCCTGGTGGCGGGAGCACGGGTACAGCGACGTCTTCGACCGCTACTTCCGCTGCGAGGGCCGCGTCAGGATCTACCACGGGAACTGCAACACACCCATCCCGGAGGACTAGGCCGCCCGGCACGGCCTGCGGGGCCGCGGTGCTTTCGGGGGTGGGCAAGCAGCTAGTGACGCGTGCGCACCAGTGTCCTACGCCAAGGTGCGCCCCTTTCCCGGGCCCTGTGCTCCCACGCCACGAGCGTTCTGCCACTCCCACCTCAGCCAGGAAGTGCAGGCTAGTGGTTAGAGCAGGGTGCCTGGGTTCTGCTCCCAGCTCAGGCACGGGCTGTGCGAGCTCGGGTTAGGCACATCGCTCCTCCTTGCCAGTCTGCACCGCTGTAAAAAGGGGCTGATCAGCTTTACCCTCCTCACACCACAGCCGCGAGCGCCCGTGTGAAAGCCCCTGTCTACACGCAACACACAGCGACGCCCTCACGCCCGCCTGCCCCACTTGTGGCGATTGCCTGTGTGCGCCGTGCACTGCAGCGCTGCGAATTGTGGCCGCCAGGTGGGCCCGTCGCTCAGTGACCTGGGCCCGGTGCCGGGCAAGGAGACGCCGGCTCAGCCTGGCCTGGTTTAGAATAAAAGCCAAACGAGCGCTTTGAAAGCCTGACCTGGGGCTGCGCTCACACGGGGTCGCTCCTGGGCCAAAAGGAGCTTTAAAGCCGCCCGGGCGCTCCCTGCAGCCCCTCCGAGCCCCACGCAGGGGGCACGCGGGTTCTTTGGGGGCGGCTGCGACTGTCCGAGCGGAAGGCTCCAGACGCGCGTTTCTCTCTCGCTGGGAGCAAAAGGGGCTGACGTGAGTCTGTTGGGGAGCTGGCTAAGCGGCGTCCTGCCTCCCGTCAGGGTTCTGCCAAGCTGCACGCGAGCCCCATGTCGGGGCTTCACAACACGTTTTCGCGGCAGTCACTCTCCTAGAATCATAGAACCACAGAGCTGGAAGAGACCTCAGGAGGCATCGAGTCCAGCCCCCTGCTCTAGGCAGGACCCATCCCAACTAAATCAACCCGGCCAGGGCTGTGTCAAGCCGAGACTGAAACACCTCTAGGGATGGAGACTCCACTACTTCCCTAGGGAACCCAGCCCAGCGCTTCACCACCCTCCTAGTGAAATAGTTTTTCCTCATATCCAACCTGGACCTCTCCCCCCCCCCCCCCAGGGAGACCAGCCTCTCTCCAGCCTCTTTGGAACCTCCCTTCAGGGAGTTGAAGGCTGCTCTCAACCCCCCCCTCGCTCGTCTCTTCTGCAGACTAAACAGCCTCTCTCAGCCTCTCTTCGTAGGTCATGTGCTCCAGCCCCCTAATCATTTTGGCTGCCTCTGCTGGCCCCTCTCCAATGTGTCCACATCCTTTCTGTGGTGGGGGGCCCAGAACTGGACACGATACTCCAGATGTGGCCTCCCCAGAGCCGAGTAAAGAGGAAGCTGAGTAAAGTGGCCCTACTGGGCCACTGCTTGTAAATGGCAGCTAACGAGTCTCTGTGGCCCATTGTCCTTCCGTGGCACCGCTGAGCCATTTTGGCCATGCCCGTGCCAGTGGGCGCTCACAGACGGCCGTGCGCAGCAGCCCCCCGAGTGCGCTGCCTCCTGTCCCGTCTCCCAGGTTCCTGCGCCCCAGCAGAGTCGCCGGGAATGGAGTTGGCTCCGGGTTCTGCCAGTGGCCTGCAGAAGGGGGGTAAGCCACTACTCGAGTAGTCAACTACCTCAAAAGCTGGCTCCCCCCAGCACTGTCTCTGCAGAGGCCGCGGGCCCCCAGGACATAACCACACTGCGGCTCTGCAGTTTAAATACAGTAGGAGCTGAGCTGCCTGTGCACCCGGCTCCTGCTCCATTTAAACTGCAGAGCCACAGCGCGGGCAGCGAGCGCCCCCACGTATCGACTAATCGAAATTCCATCCCTAGCTGGCTGCAAGAGCAGGATGACCTGTAGGAGCTGCTTCCTGGGCCGGCGTGTGCAGTGCAGCAGGAAGGATTAACGGGGGGCAGGCCCGGCCGGGCGTGAGTGGCAGGGGGCACGCCCAGTGGTTACCTGAGAACACGTCCTCGGGCCTGGCCCAGCACTGCCGGGCAGGGGGCAAAGTGCAGCCGAGAAGCCAGTGACTGTCTCAGGCTCCAGCTCTCGGCAGGCGTGAGAGTGGGCGGGGTACGACTACCCGGGCTTCAATCCTGAGACGCTCTGCTCACTGCCCCAACCGGCCTCCAGCCATCACGGAGCCAGGCCTCCTGGAGCAGGGCAGCCCAGCCTGCCGGGAACAGCACCCGTCTCCATGGGCTCTCCACGCAGCCTAAGTTCCAGGGGTGGCAGATCGCACCTGCCCTGGGCCTTCGGAGGCGCTCCGGCTAGTCTGCCATCTCGAGCCGCGGGTGAGCGAGCGACAGACACAAGCCCACTCCCACCGTCACCGCAGTGCGCCCTGCGCTGAGCTCTGCACAGCCTGCCCAGGCGTCCCTCGGCCCCTGTGACGTAGTGGGGGTGCTTGCTGGGCTGTGGTGACCTCTGCTGTCTGGAGCAAGACCCATCAGGGAAAACCTCACTATGCAAAGGTGATGCCAAACCGGTTGAACCAGACACCCCCCATGGAGAGGAACAAAGGAAGGTGGATGCTGCCCTGGCTGGGGGGCAGGGCTGGAGGAGAGGGAGTTTAGTGGCTGGCTGGGAGCATGGAGGAGACAGCCTAGGGAAAGGGGCTGGAGTTAGGGGCCCCTCAAGGGGGCCTGAGGCAGCCTAGCCCAGCTCTGTGACCAGCTTACATCTGTGCTGTGCTGTATCCTGGAGAGGCAATAAGCTTCCTCTATTCCACCGGCGGGTGCAGTCTGTTTGTGCCATTTCGGGGTGCAGGAGACGGGGGACCCCCAACGCGCCGTCACAGCCTGTGAAAACGCACCTGCTCAGCAAAACCCCCGAGAAATCTGCCCAGCCCAGCCCACGTTCTGCCACTGGCCTGGGGGAGAGGACAGACGCAGCGATGAAAGCGCATGAAGAGCAGCGTGGCTTGTCCGAGCCTCTCGCCACCCTCCCTGGGATCCCCCTTCAAGTGGCTGAGGTAGATTCCTTGAGGGGCCCTTCCAGGAGTTCCCGGGGACTGAGCTGAGGCTGACCAGGCTGTAGTGCCCTGCATTCTCCTGCCCCCTTTAAAACTGGGCACCTCGTTTGCCTATTTCTAGAACCTCCCCTGATCACCAAGGCTGCGTCTAGACGGGCAGGATTTTCCACAAATGCTTTTAACAGAAACGTTTTTCCGTTAAAAGCATTTGCGGAAAAGAGCGTCTAGATTGGCACAGAAGCTTTTGCGCAAAAGCACTTTGGCACGGATGCTTTTCTGCAAAATCTAGACGCGGTTTTGCGCAAGAAAGCGCCATTTTCGCCATCGGGACTCTTTTGCTCAAAACAGTTTTTAGCGTCTACACTGGCCCTCTTGCACAAACACATTTGCACAGGAGGGCTTTTTCCCGAACGGGAGCAGCATAGTGTATGCGCAGAACACTGACAATCTTACATGAGATCGGCAGTGTCTTGCACAACACCGGCTGCTTTTGCGGAAAAACTTGCCAGTCTAGACGCAGCCCAAGAGTTTTTAAAGAGCCGGGGGCTCTGCAGTCACATCCGCTAACTCCCTCAGCAGCCTCGGAGGCCTTAGATCCGGCCCCTGGATTTCTGCACGTCCAGCTTTCTAGACAGTCCCAACCCTGTTCCTTGTCCGCCAGGGCGGCTATCTGGGAGCTGTCATTGTGAAGCATTGACTAGTTCAGCTTTTCCCACGTCATCTATCACTAGGTTACCTCCAATAAGGGCCTCCCCCACCCCCGCCTGTCCGCCCACCCTCTTCTATTGCTCACGTGCCTGTAGAAATCTTGTTTCCCTTCACACCCCTTGCTGGCTGCAATTCCAGTTGCGCTTTGCCCTTCCCGATTCCACCCCTGCATTCTCCAGCAATATATTGATATTCCTCCCGTCATCCCAGTTCCCACTTGTCAGCTTCCCTTTGTGTTTAAACTCACCGAGGATTTCACCGCTAAGCGTAACCCTCTTTTTCCTCCCTGGGCTACTCGGGAGCAGGTCACCCTCCTGGGTGCCGATGTTTTTACCATAAAAGGAGATCCTGCGTACTCCAACGGTGGTGATGGAAAGCTGGGGATTCCCTATCCACCCCCTTGCTCCTCCATGGCGGTGCCTCCACCTGGCTGGCCCGGTACACACTCAGTGGTGCCTTGGGAGCCTCCAGGAATACAATGATTCCAGCAATAATCTGGATCTAACCCCAGGACAACAATTATAAATAATATTCAGCTAATTGATTCCATTCGAATGAACCCACCTTTACTCGACAACTTAAAGACCCAGGGTCTAACAGATTAAAAGTGAACAGTCAATTAGATGTTTCCTTCCTGTGTACTTATCATCTGGCATTTACCTTGCCCCATTTATTCCCCCTCCCCCGAGCGTGCACTGCTCTGGATTCAGGGTCCCAGACACTGCAGGTGTGGGTGTGCTGTAGGGTCTGCAGCTGGAGCGGAGATAGCACTGTGCAGATCCAGGCAGGCAGCCGGCTGCAAAATCCCTCAGCCACTGGAGCCAGCCCCACCAAATGCCAGCAGCTCTGGTTCCCTGGGCTGGTCACTCGGCCTCCCTTTGGACCCAGAGTCAGCCTGTCTTCTTGGCTCCGTCCCAGGCAGCGCTTTCCCAAAGAGCCCAGTTACTCACCGTTACCTCCTGTGAGACCCTTCCCAGCCACGGCACAGCCAGGATCTCTCCCCTCCAGCGACAATCCAGCAGCCTCCGAAGCAGCCTGCTAGAGCCAAGCCACCGCAGGCTCTCAGTAACCAGCTCGAGATGCAACTCAACAGCTCCTGGCCTAGAAGAGGCTCCCCGCCAGCAGCCTGGCTCCGCTCTCCAAAATGGAGCCTCCTCTCTCTCTCTCCATGCCTGGAAGAGCCACCATTCCCTCCTTATTCCCAAGGGCTCATGGGAGTTGTAGTCTCTAGGGCTAACTTGTAGCACAAAGGAACCTCCCAGTAAAAGTCAGAGGCTCCTTTAGTAAGGGGACTACATTAGCCACGCTGGTCACCTACCACATTTGCTTTTCTTACTGCGCATCGGGATGATTTGTTCCTGCACCTTCAATAAGGCTGCTTTAAAATCCAGCCAGTTCTCCTGGACTCCTTTCCCTCATGTCAGCGTCTCAGGCCCCTAGAATCATAGAGCACTAGAACCGGAAGGGACTTCAAGGGGTCATCGCATCCCGTCCCCTGCCCCCACGGCTGGACCCAGCACTGTCTCTAGAGCATCCCTGGCAGGTGTCTGCCCAACCTGCTCTTAACTGTCCTCAGTGGTGGAGATTCCATGACCCCCCAGGCAGTTTGTTCCAGTGCGTCACCCCCTGATGTGCAGGAGGCTTTTCCTGACGTCAGCTGCCCCTGCCCGTCAGTTCCCTGAGGGACTCAGCGGCTGCTCTTCTGAATCCAGGGAGTGTATTTTGCTGCTCCCCGTTCTTCCTTTGGTCAGGATCTGAACTCGGCCATCTCCTGTCGCTGCTGCCTGGGTTGCCACCCACAGCTACTTCCCCTGCCAGGTCCCCCGTGTGTGAGCGGCAGGTCAGGAGCATGGCCCTGCCTGGCTCCTCCAGGACTTGCACCAGGACGTTGTCCCCAGCACTCTCCAAAAACCTCCCAGCAGATACCAGGCTGCTGGCATAGAGGCAATAAGCTTCCTCTATTCCACCGGCGGGTGCAGTCTGTTTGTGCCATTTCGGGGTGCAGGAGACGGGGGACCCCCAACGCGCCGTCACAGCCTGTGAAAACGCACCTGCTCAGCAAAACCCCCGAGAAATCTGCCCAGCCCAGCCCACGTTCTGCCACTGGCCTGGGGGAGAGGACAGACGCAGCGATGAAAGCGCATGAAGAGCAGCGTGGCTTGTCCGAGCCTCTCGCCACCCTCCCTGGGATCCCCCTTCAAGTGGCTGAGGTAGATTCCTTGAGGGGCCCTTCCAGGAGTTCCCGGGGACTGAGCTGAGGCTGACCAGGCTGTAGTGCCCTGCATTCTC